AGACATCTTCCCAGTTTCCTCTGAAACTGTCCATTTCCTTCATCACTTCTTGTGGCACAATCATATTCCATTACATTCGTCTAAGATCATTTGTTGAGCCATTCCTCACTCCCTTAGTTTCCAGGTTTGGGCTACTCCAAAAAAACTCTAATATTCCTGTACGTGGAGGTCCTTTTCCTGCTTTGATCCCTTTGGGCTATAGGCCTAGCTAGGTCACAGGGTTTTCACAGTTTAGTAACTTCATTATGGAAGTTTAGGCAGCTCGGTGGTTCGGTAAACAGAGCACTTGTCCTGCCTGGAGTCAGAAAGACCTCAATTCAGTTACAGCTTCAGACATTCACTAGTGGTGTATGATCCTGAGCAGGTCACTTAACCTTTGTCAGCCTCGTTTTCCTCAACTGTAAAATGAGGATCAAATGAGATAACGTTGTAAAGCACTTAGCATAGTACCTGGGGCACATAGTAGGGACTTAATAAATGCTTATTCCCTTCCTCCTTTAGTAACTTTTTGGACATTCCCATAGCCGCTATAATATTTGTCATCTTTGCTAATCTGATTAGTGTGGGGAGGAACCTCCAAGTTATTTTAATTTGCATTTCTCTAATTATTAGTAATGAGGAGCATTTTTCTATTGTTGTTGATAGCCAGGCAACACACAAGGATTCGTTTATTTATTTAATAATTAATTTGTTTTTAGTTTTCAACATTCATTTCCATAAGATTTTGAGTTTTAAATTTGCTCCTCCTCCCTCTCCTCCCTTCTCCCCAAGACGGCATGCAGTCTGATATAGGCTCTACTTATACATTCGTATTAAACATATTTTCACATTAGTCATGATGTAAAGAAGAATTAGAACTGATGGGAGAAACCACAAGAAAGAAGAAGAGAGCAAATAGTATATGCTTCCATCTGCATTCAGACTCCGTAAGTTCTTTCTCTGGATGTGGATAGTGTTTTCCATCATGAGGCTTTTGGAATTGTCTTAGATCCTTGCATTGCTGAGAAGGGCTAAGTCTAACAAAGTTAGTCGTTGCACAATGTGACTGTTTCTGTGTACAGTGTTCTCCTGGTTCTGCTCATTTCATTCTGCATCAGTTCATATAAGTCTTGCCAGGTTTTTCTGAAGTCTGCCTGCTGATCATTTCTTTTCTTTTTTGTGAGGCAGTTAGAGTTAAGTGACTTGCCCAGGGTCACACAGCTAGTAAGTGTCCGAGTGTCTGGTCTGAGACTGGATTTGAACTTAGGGCCTCCCGACTCCAGGGCCGGTGCTGTATCCATTGCGCCACCTAGCTGTCCCTTGCTCATCATTTCTTATAGCACAATAGTATCCCTTACATTCATATACTACAACTTGTTCAGCCATTCCCCAGTTAATGGGCATCCCCTTAATTTCCATTTCTTTGCCACCAAACAAAGAGCTGCTATAAATATTTTTGTACATGTGGGTCCTTTTCCCATTTTTATGATCTCTCTGAGATACAGCCCTGGAAGTGATATTGCTGAGTCAAAGGGTATGCATGCTTTCATAGCCCTTTGGACATAGTTCCAAATTGTTCTCCAAAATGGTTGGACCATTTCACAACTCCACCAGCGATGTATCAGTGTCCCAATTTTCCCACATCTTCTCCAACATTTATCATTGTCCTGTTTTGTGATGTTGGCCAGTCTGATGGTGTGATGTGGTACCTCAGAGTTGTTCTGATTTGCATTTTTCTAATCGATACCTACAAGTATTTATTAAGCACCGGCTCTGTTCAGGTACTGTATGCTAAGTGATGGGGGAACAAAGAGAGGCAGGAGACGGTTCTGTTCCTTCAAGAACTCTTAATCTAATGGAGAGCTTGGATCTCTTCCTTTGAAAATTGCCTGTTCTTTTACTAATTATCTTTTGGGGAATGGTTCTTTGTTGTTGTTGAGTCATTCAGTCATGTTCTGCTCTTTGTGACCCCATGAACCATAGCATGCCAGACTCTTGTATCCCTTGTTGTCTCCAGAAGTCTGTCAGGGCTCGTGTTTTTTGGCTTCCGTGATACTATCCAATCTTTCCCACCATCAGAGTCTTTTTCAGTGAGTCCCGTCCTCTCGTTGTGTGACTTCAGTATTTGACGTTCCAGTGAATGGCCTGGATTTTAAGTATTGACCGATTTGATCTCCTTGCTGTCCAAAGAACTCTCAGAAGTTTGAAAAGTATTGATTCTCTTGTGCTCAGCTTTCCTCATAGGCCAATTCTCACAGCCATACAAGGCTACTGGAAAAACCATAGATTTGACTCTACAGACCTTTGTCAGCAAGGTGATGTCTCTGCTTTTTAGTCTGCTGTCCAGATTTGCCATAACTTTTCTTCCTAAGGGTGAGTGTCTTTTAATTCACCATCTGCAATGATCCTTGGGCCCAAGAATATAAAACCTGACACTGCTTCCATTTCTCCTCTCTTTATTTGCCAGGAAGTGATGGGACCAGTTGCCAAGATCTTAGTTTTATAAATGTTAAGCCTCAACCAGCTTTTACACCCTCTTCTTTCACCCTCATCAAGAGGCTTCTTAATTCCTCTTCGCTTTCTGCCATCAGAGTAGTGTCATCTGGGATTGTTGATCTATCTCCCAGCAACCTTAGTTCCAGCTTGATTCATCTAGCCTGGCATTTTACATGATGTACTTTGCATATAAGTTAAATAAAGAAAGTGGCAGTACACAGCCTTATCCTATGCCTTTCCCAATCTCGAGCCAGTCTGTTGTTCCAAGTCTGGCTTTAGCTGTTGCTCCTTGTCCAGCACACAGGTTCTTCAGGAGACCAGTCAGATGATCTGGTACGCCCATCTCCTTGAGGGCTTGCAGCGTTTTGTTGTGATTCACACACTCAAAGGCTTTAGTGTAGTTTGGCAATAAAAAGCTTATGATCTGAGCCACAGTCAGCTCCAGGTCTTACTTTAATTGAACGGTTAGAGCTTTTCAACCTTTGGCTTCGAAGTATATAATCAGTCTGATTTCTGTGTTGACCATCTGATGATGTCCATGTATAGACCTTTTGGGTTGTTGAAAAAGAGTGTTTGCAAGGGGCAGCTAGATGGCACAGTGGACAGAGCACCGGCCCTAAAGTCAGGTGGACATGAGTTCAAATCCGGCCTCAGACCAAACACTTGACGTGCACTAGCTGTGTGACCTTGGGCAAGTTGCTTTACCCCAATTGCCTCGAAAAAAAAAAGAGTATTTCCTCTGACCAGTGAGTTATCTTGGCAAAATTCTGTTTGCCTGTGCTCTGCTTCATTGGCACTTCTAATGCCAAACCTGCTGTTATTCTAATTCTCTTTTGATTTCCTGCTTTAGCATTCCATTCCCCTATGATGAATGTGACATCTTTTTTGAGTGTTATTTCTTGAAGATGTTGTAGGTCTTCATAGAACTGATCAGCTTTGGCCTCTTCAGCATCATTGATTGGAGCATAGACTGTATTGTTGTGGTGTTGAAGGGTCTGCTTTGGATTCGAACGGATGTCATTCTGTCATTTTGGAGATTCTATGCCAGTACTGCTTTTCTTACCCTTGTATTGATGTGAGGGCTACTCCATTTCTTCTAAGGCATTCTTTTTATTCATTCATTCATTTATTTATTTATTTTTTGGGCTAGGCAGTGGGCTGAAGTGACTTGCCCAGGGTCACACAGCTAGTAAGTGTCAAGTGTCTGAGGCTGGGCTTGAACTCAGGTCCTCCTGACTCCAAGGCCAGCACTCTATCCACTGCGCCACCTCGCTGCCCCTTTCTAAGCCATTCTTGCCCATTGTGTAGTGATCATTCAAATTCATTTCACCCATTCTGATCCATTTAAGGCCACTGACCAAAATGTCAGTGTTGAATCTTTCCATCTGCTATTTGATCACAGCCAGCTTAGCTTGGTTCATACAGCTTACATTCCAGGTTCCTGCGCAACCTTGATCTTTACGGCATCGGCCTTTCCTTTCATCTCCAGACACACCCACAGCTCTGCTTCCCATTCCCTTTGGCTCGGCGGCTGCACCAGCACTGGGGCTACTTGGGGTCCTCTGCTCTTCCCTGGGGGTGTGTGCGCTACCTTCTGGCCGCTTTTACCATTTTAGTACTGTCCGTGGGGTTTTCTTGGCAGTCATACTAGAGTAGTTTGCCGTTCCCTTCTCCAGCGGAACATCTTTTGTCAGAATTGTCCCCTGTGGCCTGTCCGTCTTGGGCAGCCCTGCCAGACAGAGCTCAGGCTTGTATTGAGCTATACTGACAGGACAGGACAGTGAAGTGGGGGGGTGGAAGAAGATTCTAATTTCATAAATTTATGACACCTTTATCAGAGAAATTTGCTGCAAAGAGTTTTCCCAGTTCATGTTTTGGTTTTAATTTTAGCTGTATTAGATTTGTTTGTATAAAAGCTTTTACATTTTATATAATGAAAACTGTCCATTTCATCTTTCTTTTTTTTTTTTTTTTTTTTTTTTTTTTTTGTGAGGGCAATTGGGGTTAAGTGACTTGCCCAGGGTCACACTAGTAAGTATCAGGTATTTGGTGTGAGGCCAGATTTGATCTCAGGTCCTCCTGACTCTCGGGCCAGTGTTCTATCCACTGCGCCACCCCATTTCATCTTTCCTGCAATCCTTTCTTTCACCTGTTTAGTCATGAATTCTTCCTTTATCCATAAGTCTAAAAGGTAATTTCTCCCTTCTTCCTAATTTGCTTGTGATGTCACCTTTTTATGTCTAAGTCATGCACCCATGTAATCCTCCCCAGGGTTCTATCCCAGTCTTTCCTCCTTGATTCAGCCTCCAAGAACGTCGTCTTCCCCTTGAACCAGTATAACAGGGATAGTTTGTCCCTCACGATGCAGGACCTGTTAGGAACGGAGTTGCCTTTTGTCCACGAGTCTCAGTGTGTTTCCATCCCCAGCTCGGCTTGCTTTGGATACCGTGTTTGCAGCCTGGTCAGTGCTTTGTTGACAAGTTCTTCTTTTGGTGTCTGACGGAGATCTCTATCCCTCCCTCCAGAGCACGATGACCGTGTTGGGGGTAGCTTCCCCCAAAGACGGAAGAAAGGCCGGGGCCCCTTCCGGTGGAAATACGGCGAGACAAATTCACGGCCTCGAAACCGAGGTGGCCCTGGACCCCGAGCTTCCCGCGTGGAGGAGGATGATGGGGATGTTGCCATGAGTGATGCTCAGGATGGGCCCCGATCCCGGTAGTAAGTACCCACTTCCACCCACAAGAAGGAACTTTGAATGAAGCGGCCTGTGGGAGGACAAAGTCTCTTCCCCGACCTGACCCACACCCCTGAGGCCAGAGATTATTCACCATTTCTTCCCATTGCTTTCTGAAATTGGTGGGAGACTACTCAGTCCAGCTCAGCTAGTCAGCAAACATTTGTTAAGCACCTACTATTTGCCAGGCATTCAGCCCCCAGGCTGATGATTGTGCAATGAGTCTTAGCCCTGGTTTGAAATGAGGGACTCCGGGAAAAGATCCCTGTAGGTCAACAGGTCATTCTACCTCTTTCTCTGTAGCACACCTTACAACTCACGACCTAACCGGAGAGGAGGAGATAATTGGCACGACCGAGACAGAATTCATGTCACCGTGCGCCGAGACAGGCCTGGCCAAGACAGAGGTGGCGCCGCCGGCTCCAGCCTCGATGCGGCCCCCAAAAACTGGTTCAGAATCACGGTGAGTGCCACTCCTGGGTATGGAGACATTGCTCCATTGGGAAGGTGGGAGAAGCTCAGCCTGGCCACTCCTGTGCTGGGGGGCGGAGGTGGGTCTCCAAAGACCTGGAGTCTGGAGAGCGCTCCTTTTGGGCATGTTCTGGTCTTTGGGCAAGGGAGACAGGAGCCATGTTCTGTGTGTTCTTTATGTCCGTCAGACATAATTTTAGCTGTATTAGATTTGTTTGTATAAAAGCTTTTACATTTTACATAACGAAAACTGTCCATTTCATCTTTTTTTTTTTTTTTTTTGGTGAGGGCAGTTGGGGTTAAGTGACTTGCCCAGGGTCACACAGCTAGTAAGTGTCAAATATTTGGTGTGAGGCCGGATTTGAACTCACATTCTCCTGACTCTCGGGCCAGTGTTCTGTCCACTGCGCTGGAGGAGAGGCTGGTCCTGTTCTCTCTCTAATGTTCTTCTCACTCCTCTCCTCCCCCCCCAACCCTCCCAGATCCCTTACGGCAGAAAGTACGACAAGTCATGGTTGTTGAACTCCATCCAGAGCAAATGCAGTGTCCCCTTCAATCCTGTTGAGGTAAGGGCATGTGCCCAGACTGGGCTTTGTCACACCTGCGTGTTGTAGGCCACAAGCACTGATTAAGCACCACCTGTGTGCCCCTCGGCAGCAGCCTTCCAGCTCGAAGGACAGTTTGGTGGAAGAGGGTTGACCTTATTCTGGCCTCAGATAATGGAAATGGCCAGGCAGGTTTCGGCTTGATGGGGATGCACTTTGCTGGCCTTCAGCGCCGTCCACAGGCCGCCGTGGGCTATGGTGGGAAGATGCCCTCTGCTGGGCTCCAGGGCTCAGGCGTCTGCACTGTGCTGTCCCCCAGTTTCACTATGAGAACACCCGGGCCCAGTTCTTCGTGGAAGACGCCAGCACTGCGTCTGCCCTCAAGGCTGTGAATCACAAGATTTTGGACCGAGATAACCGAAAGGTAGGAAGGGCACTGGGGGCTGGGGTGGGGCAGCCGGTGAAGGGCTTTGAGGTGTGTGAACCTCATGCTGGGCTCCTCGTGTCCCTGCAGATATCAGTCATCATCAACCCATCTGCCCCACCCACGTCGGTGCAGAATGAGCTCAAGCCTGAGCAGGTGGAGCAGCTCAAGGTGAGACCTCGCCTCCTGTGAGCCCCCCCCCCAAGCTCCTGTCTACCTCCCTCTCCCGCTCTGACTCTGCCGTCCTTTCCTCCCCGCAGTTTGTCATGAGCAAGCGCTACGACGGCTCCCAGCAGGCCCTGGATCTGAAGGGCCTCCGCACAGACCCAGGTAGGGCCCCTGGCCCTCGGGATTTATGGGGAGGCTGCGGCTCGGCTCTCCTCTGAACGCTCCTTCCTTTTCTCCCCAACGTCTGCAGACTTGGTGGCCCAAAACATTGACGTCATCCTGAATCGCAGAAACTGCATGTCCGCCTCCCTGCGGATCATCGAGGAGAACATCCCCGAGGTGAGGCCTGGGTAGCCGTCGGGGGAGGGGCCGGGCCCTGCAGGCCCCCCACCCTCCCTTTCACTCCAGAGTCCTCTTTACTTCTTTCGATTCCCTTCCCGCCGCCAGCTGCTGTCACTGAATCTGAGCAACAACCGCCTGTATAGGCTAGATGATCTGGCCGAGATTGTGCAGAAGGCACCAAACCTCAAGATCCTGAACCTTTCTGGGAATGAAGTGAGAGCCAAGGCTGGGCTGGACGGGCGGGGGGCAGGGAGGGAGGTGTAGGCAGGTTCTGGGGCCCAGCCCCCTGTCCGCCTCCTCTCTGCAGCTGAAGTCAGAACGAGAGCTGGACAGGGTGAAGGGGCTGAAGCTGGACGAGCTGTGGCTTACCGGGAACCCCTTGTGTGACGCTTTCCGGGACCAGTCGTCCTACATTAGGTCAGTGCCAGCCCCTGACTCCCCTCCTGGGGACCAGCACCCCCCGGGGGGATGACATAATTTGCCCTGAGGAGGCCCAGCCTGCAAGAGTGGAGCCCGGACCCGGATTCAGCTGCCCTCTGAGCAAGGAGCCCACAGCCCACTCACTCCCTGTGGTATTCGTCTGTGTCTGTCTGATTGGCTTGAAGGTTTCCTGCATCCCCCTGTTTGTTGCTTCTCTCCTTTAGCACACGGCCTCTTCCGCCATCTTCCCTCTGTAACCTCTGCTCCAGGGAGGGAGCAGGGACCCTTTCCTATAGTGCCCTGGGGACCCTTGGCCCCCCAGTCTCCCTGATGTACCTGGTGCCGAGAGCACAGCCCCGTGGCTGAGCCAGGGCTCGTTACTGCCAACGCCTCCCTGCTCTGATGGGCCCGACTTTATGGAGACGGGCGCGCTTGTCCTTTGGGCCTGCGCGGAGGCGTGACGAGGCCCTCTTCCCTCACACAGTCCATCACCTTTGCTTAGTTCCAAGAGCTGGGCCTGCAGCCGGTGGGCTGCGGGGACCCCAGGACAGGATCCAGGGGTGGAAGCTATGGGGGCACAGGCCACTGAGGAGATGACCCCCCGTGGGGGCACAGACCCTCCCTTACTTGCACATGTCCCACACCTTGCTCGGCCCCGGAAGATGGCTGGTTAGCCAGAGACGGGTAAGATTCCTCAAGGGAGGAACAACCTAAGACAGGCACAGTCGCACAGGGGCCAGCAGGAGAGAACTTGGGGGCCAACAGAGGTGGGGCACAGACCCTCACCCCCCCAGCTTGGGAGGGCCTGCCTTTGGGGCGTCTCCTGCCCCCGTGGCTGCTCCACTCCACGTGCCCAGCTCAGACTTGGACCCAGGCAGAGGGCAGAGACTCAGCCCACGAGAAGCGTTGAGGTGCCACGGAAGCCTTTGACTTCCTTTTCCCTGGACCAGGGGGGGCAGAGGGCAGCTCCAGGAAAGGCCTGTGTTAGGCAGCCAGTCCTCCCTCCTCGCTCCTCCCCTCCTCTCCTTTCTGGCTCCGCTGTGCTCCTGTCGCCCCTCGGCTCTGCCTCTCTCCCTCTCCCCACCCCGGCTTCTCGCTATGTTCCTCCAACATCCTGTCCCACCCCCTGGTATATCTTGGCCCAGGCTGGGCCTGACAGCAGTGATGGACATCATCTGAGGCAGCTGGGTCCCTGGGCTCCCACCCCCTTTCCCCCTCCCCTGGGCTGCACAGGTGAGTACGAGGAAGGTAAGAGAAGGGAGCCCCTTGACTGGGAGTATCGTTGCTTCCCATGCACTTGAGAAAGGGGGACAAGTCAGGAAGGAGGCTGGGCTTCAGGGGTAGCTAGTGAGGTCTACGTTAGGGAGCCGAGCAGAGGGATCCCCTCGCCCCGAAGGGCCCAGGACCGGGGCGGGCCGTGCCTGGGGTCTTGGTGTGTTTGCTCCTAGAGCGGCCCTGGCGACACGCTGGCCCTGAGGTGTCGCTCACTCCTGTCCCGTTCTTGACAGCGCCATCCGGGAACGCTTCCCCAAATTGCTTCGTCTGGTGAGTTCAGCCGTCTTTCTCTCCTCTCTTGGACTCTGACCTCTGGGGATCGATTGATGATCTGACGCCCCTTGTGCCCCATTAATGTCCTGAGTGGCATCTTAAGCTTCATTCTCACACTTCCCTCCAGTTCTCCCAATCTGTTGCTCCGCCTGGGTCTCTGGGCCAGGCTCTCCATCTGTCTGTCCCTCCGCCCCCACGCCCCCACGTCCCTGTGACTCTTCACTCACAGAGAATTCAGACCTCTTGTCCTTCACTCTCTTTTGCCCCTTTCTTTGCCTTCCCCAGGACGGCCATGAGTTGCCCCCCCCAATTGCCTTTGATGTGGAAGCTCCTACTACGCTCCCGCCCAGCAAGGTATGGGGCCATGGGAGGGGCCGAGGCCAGAGAGGGCTTCCCGTGGGCCTGACTTGTCGCCCTCCTCCCCACCCACTCTCTCTCTCTCTGGGTTCAATGCAGGGCAGCTACTTCGGATCAGAAAACCTGAAGGCCATGGTCCTGTACTTCCTGCAGCAGTGAGTGTGGCAGGCGAGAGGGGGATGGGGCAGAGACAGTTGCAGAGCTGGGGGCCCAGGGAGAGGCCTCATTCACTTTCTCCCTTTGCAGGTATTATTCTGTGTATGACTCTGGAGACAGGCAAGGGCTTCTGGACGCTTACCACGACCAGGCTTGCTGCTCCCTCAGCATTCCCTTCAGCATCCATAACTCGGCTCGGTGAGTGCCCCGTCTGGGGGTGAGTGGGCTATGCGTGGCGCCCATCCCTTCTGGGTTACCAGCTCTGTCACTTGCTTGTCCTAGGGGCAGCATGAGTGAGTACTTCAAAGATAGCAGGAACGTGAAGAAGCTCAAAGACCCCAGTGAGTGGGCTCAGAGGGCCTGGGCGGGGGAGGGGGGCGGGGGCAGGGCTCGGGGAACGCCCAGGGCCCCAGGCCTCCTTTAACAGTGCTCTCCCGCTGCCACCCTCAGCCCTGCGGTTCCGACTGTTGAAGCACACGCGTCTCAATGTCGTGGCCTTCCTCAACGAGCTCCCCAAGACCCAGCATGACGTGAACTCTTTTGTGGTGGATATCTGCGCCCAGACGGTGAGCCCCCATTTCCAGCCTCGCCCTCCTGTAGCGCACTCTTGGAGACACTGGCCCAGGAAATGGGAAGGCCCGGGCGTCAGTGGTGCAGGGAGAGCTGTCTGGGGTGTACGGGCCCCATGGGGGCCTGCTTGCCCCCAGACCACCTTTCTCCACAGCCATCCTGCTTCTGTCTTTTAGGAAACGCTACTGTGCTTTGCTGTGCATGGGGTCTTCAAGGAAGGTGAGCTGGACCTCGTGCTTAACCCCTCCCCCCCTCACCTCTCACCCTTTCTGCTGCCATGGGCTCCAGCGAGTCTGGGTTTGACCTGCCTTTTTCACCTGGCTTTCTCCTACAGTGGATGGAAAATCCCGCGACTCTGTCCGAGCATTCTCCCGAGTGTTCATCGCTGTCCCCTCGAATAATGCTGCCAGGTAAAGGTTCCCTTGCTGGGGGGCCAGGGGACTCGTCAGTGTTTTTTGGGATCGGGGTCTGATGTCTCGTCTTTCAGGCTCTGTATTGTGAATGACAAGCTCTTCATAAGAAATGCCACCACCGATGAAATCCGCCGAGCCTTTGTCATGCCAGCCCCGACCCCCTCCTCCAGCCCCGTGCCTACTCTCTCCCCAGAACAACAAGAGATGTTACAGACCTTTTCGACCCAGTCTGGCATGAACCTGGAATGGTCACAAAAGTGAGTGAGAGAGAGAGAGTGTGTGTGTGTGTGTGTGTGTGCGCGCGCGTGTGTGCGTGCGCATGCGTGTGTATGTATGTGAGTGATGTGCGGTGTGTTTGCATTTGCACGTCTCCAACACACACGCTTATGCTCAGGGTGAGGGGGGTGGGGTCCTGTCAGTGTCCAGAGCTCACTGGGTCGTTCTCCCTCCTGCCAGGTGCCTTCAGGACAATGATTGGGACTTTGCTCGAGCAGCCCAGGTCTTTACACAGCTCAAGGTGAGGCCCGGGGATGGAAGGCAGAATCATTGAAAAGGAGGGATACCTGCTGGCGTCTGTATTACAGATGAGAAGCCTGAGACTCTGCTGGGGACAGATGAGGCCTGGGGGGGCGGGATGGCTTTTGTGGAAGTGTCTGGGCATCAGACACTCATCTCCCTCTCATCTCCTCCGCAGGCTGGTGGCAAGATCCCCGACGTGGCGTTTCTCAAGTGACTCCTGAAGCAGCAACCCCTGCCCCTGTCCCTTGCTTCCACCTCCCCTGGCCTGGGGCCAATGTTATGACTGTGAACAAGGGCTGAGAAAGCCCTGGTCTCCCTTGTTAGGAAAATGTTGGGGAAGACTCCACCTGCGCTGCCACCAGCACCGGCGCCCTCTCGGAAGCCAAAGCTTTGTCTGTAGGACTGAGACACTAAACCGTTGCAGGCCAGACGTCCGAGCACTCCGCCAGCTGGAGTCTTTTGTTCTCCTTTTGATGATAAAGAGTGAAGTCTTACTTTGTGTTGTCTGTAGCCAGAAGTGTTACTTTTCCTGTTGATGCCTGCTGCTGTGGGGGAGCCGGCTCACTTGTCTGTCTCCCAGTCAAGGCTGGGCCATCCCAGCTCCAAAAGTGTTCCTGTGGTCTAGCTGTTCTGTTCATTCCCTTGTTTCGCTTGCCCCGTTTCCTGATGTCAGCTCCTAGCTCCTTCCTTTTTAATTCTGTTTGTTTGTCAATAAATATTGATAAGAGCTAGAAATTGAGACTCCTTCTGGGAAATGGAAGACCAGGGGGGAGGCGGGGAGCAGAGGGGTGGCTTCCTAGCCCACTCTAGGCTCAGGTGGAGAGACCGGAGAGGGGCAGGGAGGAGGGGAGCCTTGGGTATTCCATCACTCCCATACCCTGGCTTGTTCAGCCATGCCCTACTGGATGGACACCCTCTCAGTTTCCAATTTCTTGCCTCCACAAAAAACTGGTCTAGACATTTTTGTACATATAGATCCTTTTCTTTTTTCTCTGATCTCCAGGTCAGAGGACAAAGTTCCAAACTGCTTTCCAGAATGATGAGCCCAGTTCGCAGCTCCACAAGGGCTTGAAAATCCAGAAGCCATGCTGAAGCATTTGGGCAAGGGCTGGCTTAGTGTTGTGGCAGGAGGGGGACCCAAGGAAGGTCTGCAAGGCAGGCAGTAGCTGAAGGAGGGGGCCCCACTTGTGCACCTCCCCAGAGGGAACCCCACTGGAGCACCTGGGTAACCAAGTCATCAAAACAACAGGAACAGAGGGAGAAGAGTAGGAGAAACTTGATTAGGTGGGGAATACAGGAGGGGAGGTAACCAGGTGGTTCCAGGACTAAGGAGCATTTGGGTTTCCTGCCCAGTGGCTGTGCTTACTAACCCTGGGTTTGTGGGGGAGGGGGGGGGGGGGGGGGTTGCCAGAGCAGAAGGTGGAAGAATGGAGAAAAGAGCTCATCTATCTGACATCTTTCTGGGGACCACCATGAAGACCCTTTACCTTTAGGCTGTGATGCCTCGATTCCCTGGAAGTGCTTGGCTACTAAGCAAATAAAAAAACATTGACTTGCTCTCCCACGCTCCACCTTGGCTCTTCCAAATCTCATCCCTCTCCCCACTCTCAGCTGAGAACCCTGATTCATTTTTATGGAAAGAACGGGAGCCATTTGCCATCAGCTCCCGATTCTCCCCTCTTGCTGACCTATCACTCAGATGCTTCTCTGCTCTCTCCTGAACCCCCATCACGCGGTGGCTTACTCCTTACCAAGGCCAACCCTCACTTGCTCAAGCCATCCTGATGCCTCCAACAGATGCCCCCGTCATCCCCACCTTAGGACTTCATTCCCTGCTGCGTGTGAACAGTCCGTGTCTCCAGGGTCCTGAAAAAACCCTTCATTTGTAGCTACCCCTACCCCCAAGTCTACACTAAGTGCTCCCCCTGCCTCTCCCTCTCCACCAAAACTGCTCTCCCCAAAGTGATCAATGATCCAGTGGCCTTTTCTCAATCCTCATCTTCCTTGACCTCTGCAGCCTCGGACACTGTTGCTCACTCTGATTCCCTGATCCTCCCTTCTCTCGAGGTTTTCGGGACACCTCCACCTCTCTGTCTCTCTCTCTTGATTCTCCTCCTCCCTCTCTTTGCTGGATCTTCCTCCAGATCCCGCCCTCTAACCACAGGGGTCCCTCACGGCTCTGTCTGGACCCTCTTCTCTCCTCCCTGTGTACTGCTGCTTCACTTGGGGATCTCCTCAGTTCCCCTGGATTTAACGACCGTCTCTATGCTCACGTCTAGCTCTCCTGCCCCAGTCTCTGCCGACCTCCAGTCTCACATCTCCAGCTGCCTTTCAGACGTCTCTAAGTGGACATCTTAAACTCATCACCCCCTCCCCTAAACCCCGGCCCTCCCCGCCTTCCCTCCAACGCCTGACCCCTGTAAGTCCCAGCTTGAGAGCCCACCTTCTGCAGGAAGCCGCCCCCAGCCCCTGCACTCGTCACAAGGGACGGTCCTCCGCCTCCGCAGCCCCAGCACTTAGTACACAGTAGGCGCTTTGCGTTTATTGACTGACACCTATTTTACGCCGGGTATGGTGCAAAGCGATTCACAAATATCTCATTTGCTCTTCACACAACCCTGGGAGGTCGGTGCTATGATCTTCACCCCCTTTTACAGACGAAGAAACTGAGGCAGGCAGCGGTTAAGCGTCTTCCTTAGGGCCACACGGCTGGGTCTGAGGTTCAGGGGCTCCCCTGGTCTCAAGGACAAAATACCAGCCCCTGGCCTGGCACAGCCGTGACTCCCTCGCTCAAGGGGCAGCCGTGGCTCCCCATTCTTCCCGCCAAGCTCGACCTTCCCCCAATCTGGGTTCTCCAGGCTCGGCCCCGCAGGACTAGAGTGGAAGCTCCCTGAGGGCAGCGAGGCCCCATCCAGCGCCGGGCTCCACGTGGACAAGCGTCCGGGGTCTGGGAGTGAAACCGAGGCCGGGCGAGGGGCGGGGGCGCCGCTGCCGAAGGTTCAGAGCGGGCTTTGGCCGGAAGTCCCGCCCCATCAACCCGCGTCCGAGCCAGTATTTTCCTCCTCCCCTCCGGCCCGGTTCCTCGGAGGCCGGAAGTCCCGCCCCGGAAGCGGCGCGCGCCATGGCGGGGCTGGCGCGGCTAGCGCGGCGGGGGGACCGCCTCGGGCCGCCTGGGGTCGCCTGGGCCCGGGCCGCGCTGCACGAGGCGGCCCCGGCGCGGGACGTGCTGCTCTTCGAGCACGAGCGCGGCCGCTTCTTCGCCTTCCTGGGCCTCTTCTGCGCCGGCCAGGGCGTCTTCTGGACGTCGCTGGCCGCGGCAGCCTTGGCCGGGCCCGGGGGCGGCGCTCAGAGCCCCGAGGCCGAGGGCGGCGTTCAAGGCCCCGGCCGCCGCCCCAGCCCCGGTTCGGCGCTCTGGCGCTACGGACTGGCCGCCGGCTGCGCCTCCGTGGGTGAGAGCCGGAGCCTGGGGCGGGTTGCACATCTGGGGAAACCGAGGCCCGAGCTAGGAGTTGAGCCCAGGCCCCCAACGCCACCTGCCCCCCGAGGGTGGGGCTTAGCGGGGTCGGGGCGCTGGGAAAGGGCAGGGACGATCGGGGTCAGCAGCCTAACAGGCAGGGGGGCACGGGCTGAGCAAAGGCGCCGAGGTGGGCATGTCACCCGGGGCTATTTCCTGTTTGAGCCCCCAGGGCCCCGCTGCTGGTCTGTAGGGAGGGGCTTTGTGTTAAGCGGAGACCTCCGGGAAGCCCCGGAGGAGGGTCCGCGCATCCCAGTTTAACCTTCAGCATGTGCCAGCCTCCCTTCCTGGAGGAGCCCACCCTGCTGCTACATCGCTCACGACACTAGGGACCACCCACCTTGCGTCTCCCTCTCCCAGTGTCATCCATGGTCATCTCCCCCCGGACAATTCCAGCCCTGCCCCAAGCGGCTGCCTAGGGACTGACCAAGTCTGCTGTCTTCCAGCCAGCAAACGGGGGGCGGGGGGGGGGGGAAGGGGGCCCCCCCCCCCCCCCCCCGTTACCACCTCCCCCCATCAAACAAGCATCCACGGCCCCTTCCTCTCACACCTTGGCGTCCCCCAACCCCGGGACTCAGCAGCCCCACCCTCAGGCTCTTTGCGGGCCCATGGGCATCCCCCCTCCCCAAGCTTTGCCCCTTGGGGGCTCTGGCTTCCTCCTGGCCCCCCTGCCCCGAGCCTTCCTTTCCAGAGCTGCCACCCATTCTCCTGTCTGCTTTTTCTTGGTGTCCCCTGGTTTAGCCTAGTGCCGGACACAGTAAGCGCTTACTAAGTGCTTCTTGACTGATGGTTGGAGGAAGCGTGATAATTCTAGATTCTTGATACCTGTGGGAACCCTGGAAGTCACCTGGTCCATTTCCTTCGTTTTATTAGATAAGGAAACCAGGGCCCAGAGATGAAGTTGGGCCACCAACCTCAGGGCCTGGCTCGCCTGTGACCTCTGCCCCTCCCTCCCTGTCCTTCCCCAGGCCTGCTGGTGCTGGCTGCCGGGCTGCTCTTCTCCCAGCGCTCCGTCCGCTCCGTGCTGCTCAGGAAAGGGGGGCAGCAGGTGACCCTGACGACTCACGCACCCTTTGGCCTGGGGGCCCAGTTCACCGTGCCCCTGCGTCAGGTGTCCTGTCTGGCTCACCGAGGTGAGGTGCCAGCCGTGCTCCCTCTCAAGGTCAAAGGCCGCCGCTTCTATTTTCTTTTGGATAAAGCCGGACGTTTCCCCAACGTGAGGCTGTTTGACATCACCGTGGGTGCCTACCGGAGCTTGTGAACTCCCAGTGCGGAGACCCAGTAACAAATAAAGAGACAGGAAAGGCCAGTGTAGATCTTTCTGTGTTTTCATTCATCAGGGAAGGACACTTTTAAGGTGAAAGGCCGCAACATCTGGCTACCAAGACAGCAGCAGCAGGAAGGGGATGGGAGCCAGCTACGGGCGTTCATCCCCCTTGGAGGGAGCACTGGGGGAGCCTGCAGCTGCACGGTGGGGGCCGCCAGGCACTTGGGCATACAGTCTTTGGTCAGGAGACTCTGAATTCCAGCCTCTTCAGGGATGGGACGGGCGGGCCCCAAAGAGGGCATCTGTTTCGGAGCTCCACTCGGGGTCTCCTCGCTCCAGGGGCCGGTACGGGGGGGCTTCCCACTTCCACTGCAGCAGCTGCAAGGCCAGAAGCAGGCACCACAACACCAGGTTCACCCAGGAGGAAGCCTGTAGGAGAGGGCAGAGAGGAGGGTGGGCTGCCTGGGGCCTGGCACCCTCCCCCCGGCTCTCCCCCAACGCTCCCAGGCCCTCCTTACTTCTGCGCTGTACAGGGTGGAGTAGAAGTGTAGGCCGAGTCTGGGAGGCAGCCAGGGAAGTTTCTGGGCATCTGAGCAGCTGCACGGGCAAGAGAGGCTCGATGAGCAAGGTTGGGGGCTCCCCAGGGCTGGGATTTCCCCGGGTGAGGACGGGGCCCTGAGGGGGCTTCACTCAGGATCACAGAGCTGATGTGTGTCAGTGACTGGGGGGGGGCAGCTCTCTGTGCACCTACAGCCTGTGGCCTGCCCCCAAGCCACCTTCTCCCGGGGTAGTCCTCCTTCCATCCTCCCCCCAGCGTGGCCACAGGACATTGCAATGGCCAGCTGGGCAGGCACCAGCCCCGTGCCCCTCCTTCCCCTCTTGATGCCCGTTACCAGTCCACAATCTTAAGGCGCATGATGGAGGCACAGAGGGACGTGGTGCCAAATCGTAGGACGCAGGACGCCACCAGAAGCAGGAAGACGGCTGCAGCCGACAAGCCCAGGGAGACGCGCAGGCCGAGGGGACTTCTGTGGGGGAAGAGGCACCGAGGAGGTTGACGATGCTCCCCTTCCCCAGCTGGGACTCCCCCCAACACACACACCACCCCGTGATGGTCACCTGTGAGAATCTTCTAGGCAGCTGCTGTACGTCCAGTAGAGGAACAGCAACAGGCAGTAGAGGGCCAGGAGTCCCGAGACCCCCGCCACAAAGTAGCAGAGGGATGGGGCTGAGGAGCTGGCCAAGGACAGGACAGAGCCATTCCAGAGGGCGGCACCATAGACGGGGCACTGGCCACTGAAGGAGCTCTAGGGAGAGAGGCAGACGGGCTGGCCAAAGTACAAAGCCTTCCCGAAGGGACGGACGGGTAGCCAGGTGCCCAGGTGACTATTTCCTTAGGTGGTCCCGGTCCAAGCACGTCCCCTAGGGCACGTCAAATTCCACACCTGTCCTTTGGCAAAAGATGGTCTGTGGCGTCTCTCCCAACAGTCAATGGATCGACACGGAGAGGGAGCACGTTAAGAACAGGCGCTTAGAAATGAGGTGAAGGACGATTTTATCATCCTATACTTGACTGCATGAGGGAAAAGAGCCTGCCTCAGATGCCACTGGTGCCACCTCCTGGGCAAGGGATGCTAGGCTAGTCCCTGCCCTTATCCCCACTGCCAGGGCTCTGAGACTGGAGAAGGGCAAACAGAGGCCACCATGCACTGGCCAAGGAAGTGTTCTCACTAGGCATTCCCTATGTCAGTGACATCAGAGGGCTAGGCCACAACGTAAGTATGAGATATTCCCAGAAGGCTGTGCTGTGCTACACAGAAGCATCCAGGAAGCCAACCAGGAAGGAAGGAAGGAGGGAAGGAGGGAGGGAGGAAGCATCTGCAAGCAGATCTTTCTAAATGAGGGCTCTCAGGGCCTGCCTCCCTGCCGCTGGAGGAGGCTTCTGACAGCTAGGGGCACAGGGACAAACAAGCGCCCAGCAGCACTACGGGTAACAAAGCGCCAGGCAAGGGCAGCAGCAAAGCCTGGGGACCGGCAGAGGCACTAACGGCCGCGTGGATGACGTCGGCCCCGCGGCAGCTGCCCCCGCTCCTGGTGGGACGAGCAATCAGCAAGCTGCAGGGGCACAGGGATTCAAAGACAGAAGAATGAAAAATCTGCCGCGAAGAAGCTTCCGTGCTACTGGACAGACACGGCCACAGCGGGGTGTGTTCTCCTCTGTAAAACGAGGGGCCACGGTCATCATCTTCTGGCTTAAATCTGGGCCTGTAGTACCCTACATGTCACTGCACTGCTAGGAATAATCAGCATGAAGAAGTCGGAGAACACGGGAATCCGTCTAAACTGCCCACCTGTCCTGCCAAGGCCAGCCCTCCTCCCCCTTCCTTAGGCCCATCCCGGGCCCCACCGGTCCCCAGGCTGGAAACCAAGGGCTCGTCTTGGTGCCCTCCCTCCCCGAGCCCTGTCCTTTCTGCTCTGTAACATCTTTCCCATCTGTGCCCCACCCTCTCCTCTGACACTGCCACCCCAGACCGCTGAGAGAACCTTTGTCCAGTCTCCTTCCCCCAGGTTTTCCCCACTGCAGGCCATCCTCCACTCTGCTCTCAAAACAGTTTTCCTAGTCTTGGTCTGACCACATCAGTAAACTCCAGTGGCTTCCCATCGCCTCCAGGATCAAACATGCAATGCAGTGGGGCATTCAAAGCCTTCTAGCCTGCCCCTTTCCCTGTCCTCTCCTGCCTCCTCCCCACCCCCTGCTGGAATTCTCTCCCTGCTCATCTCGGCCTCCTGGTTTCCTCAGCTTCTTCCAAGGCTCAGCCCAACATCCCACCTCCTGCACGACCCTGTCCTCCTAAGCCTTACTGCCCCACCCCCAGACAATCTCCCAGTTCATTCTGTCTAGGGTAACCACTGCTTTTATGCTGTCTCCCCTGTGAGCTCCTCCAGGGCAAGGACTGTCTTTGTCTCTTTTTTGTATCCCCAGTGCTTAGCGCTGTGCCTGACAAACAGTAGGTGCTTAATAAATGCTTGAGGCCTGACTTCCCTGTCCTGATGCTGAGAGAAGGAAAGGCCGACAGACCCAGATACACAATGGTCTTGACAATGGGACAAAGGCCACAAGACCCATCTCTCCTTTCAGTCAGCACTTGATGGACCAACTGTTTTGAGTAATTTAAAGTGACCTGATACCTTTTGCAAAGTGTTCATTTCCAAGTACAGCCCTTCCCTCCCCAGCCACCAGCAGAATCACGTGGATCAGGGGAGTGAGGTGCTCCGGATAGTATGTCAGAAGTGGGACTTGAACCCAGGGCCGACTCCCAGGTCAGGGCTCTCGACACTCCACCGCACTGGAGCTCAGCTGCCACAGCCCCCAGTGGAATTCCAGCCCATGTGCCCCAAATCCAGAGAGTGCTGGATTCACTCAGCCAGCAGCTGCACCATGGAAAACGGCTTTTACAAGCTGCTGGGTCTGCTCTGTCCTAATGAGGTACATCAACCATTGTTTTTTGAATCTAAGGTTCAGCCTGGCCCAAGACGAGGCTGGGATCTGAACCAGTGGAGCTGCATTTTGGACAGCTGAGAAGTCCAGGCTTCTCAAGCCAGGAGCAGGACAGGGCCAGGCAAGGCCAGACAGGACCAGGCAAGGCCAGACAGGACCAGGCAGGGCAGGGCAGGGCTGGATAGGGCCAGGCAAGGCCAGACAGGGCCAGGCAAGGCCAGACAGGGCCAGGCAGGGCTGGACAGGGCCAGGCAGGGCTGGACAGGGCCAGGCAAGGCCGGACAGGACCAGGCAGGGCAGGGCTGGATAGGGCCAGGCAAGGCCAGACAGGACCAGACAGGACCAGGCAGGGCAGGGCAGGGCTGGACAGGGCCAGGCAAGGCCAGGGCAGGACTGGATAGGATCAGGCAAGGCTGGACAGGATCAGGAAAGGCAGGACAGGGCAGGGCTGGACAGGGCCAGGCAGGGCAGGGCAGGGAGTGCTTTTCCCCAGTGGAAGATAGGGAACTGTTTGTTCCTCCAACAGCAAAACCCCTTCCTGCCCCACCAAGCCTGTGGGTGTCTGACCTCAATGCTGTTTCATTTCCTTCTTGTTCTAATCTGAGTGGAAATCAAGTTAGAAGTGATCACTGTGGAAAGGGACAAAGCCTTTACCAAATCAAGGATGGAAGGGCCTCCAAGTACCTGAAATGAAATCTCTGGGAAGCATCTCCAGCCCAACCCACCCTGGGACTGTTCTCTTCAGGAACCAATCCCCTCACATGGCCTGAAAATCTGTTTCTCCACAGTGCCTACCCATCCCTCCTAATTCTGCCCAGGAGAGAGCCTAAACCTTCTCCCACAGCCCAGTTCTTCACATCCTTGGAGGCAGACATCATGCACCCTGGAAAACACTGTGAGCAGTGGATGATCAGGGGATCATCCTCAAGTATGTGCCTGAATAGTCATAGGGACAGTCATAGCAGAGAACTGGAAAGGTGAGTGCCCACCGACTGGTGCCTCGCCAAACAGTCCGTGCTAGCCCAACGGGATGGGCTGATGCTACACATCGAGAAAGAGGACAGCAAAGAAGCATCAAAGACTTCTATGAACTTAGGCAAAGTGAAGTCAGCAGGGCCAGGAAATGACAATGATGTAGGTGGAAAGAATCCAGGGTGTGGAAAGTAGGGTGGCCAAGCTCGGCCCCCAAAGGGAGGGAAGAGAAGGTTCTTCTACCCCTTCTCTGCAGAAGAGGGGGAGAGGGCACTGCCAGGTGAAGACTTTTGCTCAACTTTCCCTCCTTTTTGATTCTTTGTTACACGGGGCAGATAGTTCTATGGGAGGATCCACCCAGACATGTAAGTGGTGGAAAAAAAAATCGAAAGACAGCAACAATTTCTTTAAAAGACCAACCAGGATTCACACAGAGCCCCCAACCCCAAACCCTGGGATAAAGCAGTGAGGACTCCAGGGCTCAGATCCCAATTCTGTCTGTTACCTGGGGGGTGGGGGGGGGCCCTTCCCAGGGCCTCAGTTTCCTCCTGTGTTCCAAGGTCCCTTCCAGCTCTATGCCCCTTCGACCTGCTGTACTAACAGCCTAAGCAGGTCCTTAGAAGGTGGCTCGGGAGAGCCAGGCCAGGAAGGTGGGGCGCTTCCTGGACACCCAAGTTCCAGGACCAAGGGAAGAGAAGTGGGCACTCCTCCCTCCCCAAAAATGAGATCACTGCTGACCGTGGGCCGCAGGAACGAAAATACCTCCACCTTCGTGGGGGGCTACGATCACCTCCCGGGCTCAGGACCAGCCAAGTACGGGAAGAAGTACGCCCGCCCGCCTTCACAGCACGTGGCCTCGTGCACAAAACCAGCCCGGCTACTTCTGGCCCCTACGGACGGGGGAGGGGCACCCGGCCAGGGGGCGGGGCTGCTCGAGGGGCCCCTCCCCCCAAGTGGTCATCGCATTCTAACTGCGCGTGTGCCCTGGACTAGAACCAATGACGACATTCACAGAAGAGCGACTGGAACTCCGAACGCAGCCAATCTGAATACACGTAGCCACTTCGGGGGATTCATGGTTTCAAGGGCTGCGGACCCGGCCATAATCCAGGCCTCTCACTGCGCAGAGGGGAAAGTGACCCGTGAGACCACGGAGGACACCCCCTCTCTGTCCAGAGGGGGAAACTGAGGCCCAGGGAGTCCACCCTCCCCTGCACTGTCCAGAGGGGGACACTGAGGCCCCCCCCCGCCCCGCGGGCCCCACCTGCGTCCGGAAGACTGCGGCGGCCACCACGGCCCCGGCCAGGAAGGCGGCGGCGAGGAGCACGAGCTCGGCACGGTGCAGCCAAGGGAGCGCCATAGCCGCCCCGCCCGGGCCCCGCCCACCCCGCGCCTTCGTAGGCCCAACCGCCTCGCACGCCTGCGACGTCACCACGCCGGCCACTGCGTCGGCTTCTAGCATACCTTTATTTACGCACGCCCCGCCCTCCGCCGCACGGGGAAGCCCCGCCCCTTTGGCTCTAGAAAAGGCGGGGCGGTCCAGGAGGTTCCGCCCCCACCTCCCCAGTTTACAGGTGGAGAAACGGAGGCCAGGCCCACCTCCAGTCAGTGGCTCAGTCGAGGTTTCATCCGCCCAGGGCCTCGGAGAGCGAGCGACATGAGTCCGAAGGGCGTGCGGCCCCGCCCCCGACAGATGCCCAGAACCTGAGGGGGGCGTGTGGCCCGGCCCCTCCACTACGCGGACGAGGCCCGGGTACGCTTGCTGCTGTAAGTACAGAAAGTAGTTCGAGAGGGGGCAGGCGCTCGCTCGTGCACGCCCTCTCCCCGCCCCCTCGAGTACCGCAGTCGGCGGGGAGGCAGGTCCGGGGGCGGAGCCAGGCCCGGGGCGGAGCCTGGGGCAGGCGCTCATTGGTTCTCTTCCTCTCCCAGCCCCGCCCCCTCACAGCGGGAGGTAGATCCAGTACCGTAGTCCGTTGGGCGGTGGCTCCCGGGGCGGAGCCTGCAGCAGACGCTCGCTCATTCGCTGTTTTCTCGCCCTGCCCCTGCCCCGCCCCCTCACAGCGGGAGGTAGAGCGAGTAGTCCGAGAGGAGCCAGCGGCGCGCAGGGCGCGCGGTGCGGCCGATCATGGGCAGCTTCTGGGCGTAGCGGGAGGCGGGGCTGGGGCCCTGCGGCGGTGGGAAGGCCGTCTGGAAGAGGCGGCCGCGGCAGCGACGGCCCGCCTGCCGCCCGGCGATGATGAAGCGGAAGTGCGGGGTGCCCCGGGGGGCGAAGCGGCTCTTCTGGAAGACGTCGCGGGCCCCCGCGCACAGGCCCTGCTGCCGGGGCGCCCCCCGGGGCCGGTGCACGCGGGGCAGGGGCCGGCTTTCGGCGGCGGGGGGCGGGGCGTTGGCGGGGCCGCCCGGCGCAGCCCCGCGGGGGCTCTCCTCGTCCCGGGGGCTGACCGTGGCGCTGGCCGTCAGCTGGGGCATCTTGCGCACGGCGTCGGCCACGGCCGCCGGCTCCTTCTTGGCCCCCGGAGGCCGAGCGGCCGTGGGCGCCGGCTGCCCGGTGCCGAAGCGGGTGGCCAGGCTGTCCCCGAAGAAGGCGTAAAGCTCCCGGTAGGTGTCCCCGAGGGGCACGGGAGGGGCCGGGTTCCCCAGCCCGGGGGTCCCCGGAGCCAGGGGCGCCCCTGGCCCGAACCCCGGCTCCCCGGCGGGCGACTCGTGCAGGAGGAGGCCCGTCCAGGGCAGGTCCTCGGGGCGCCGGCAGCTGCGGCCGCGGCCCGGCTCCGCAGCCTGCGCCTTCATCTTGAGGAGCCGCTCCACGGCCACCTGCAGGGGGGCAGGGCCGGGAGGGTTAGGGTGCATCTCCTCACCTGAGCTGAGCTAACCCCCTTCTCCCGAAGGTCACTCACCAGGATGGCTCCGTACACTTTGTGGCCATCCGCCTTCACCTGAGCGTTGGACACGGAGTAATCGTCCAGCACAGCCTGCAGGTTGGCCCAGTAGGTGGAGAGGTGCGGGTACAGGACCCGCTCAACAGCCTGCGGGAGGGAGCTGCAGTCAGTTCACTGGCCTCGGAGGGCCCTTCTTGTCCCCCAGCCGCTGCCGGCCCTCAGCTCGTTTACGAGGAGCCCACCAGCCCTTGGGGGTCCCAACCAGCCCAGACATGGAGGAGAACACAAGATGGGGCAGGAGCTCTGGGACGGCCCTGGGCTCTGCCTCCAGCACACCCGTGCAGAGTGGGGCGCCTTCCCAGGACAGGGCAAGCCCTCACGGGCAGCACTTGGGCCCTCTGACCCTGACCCACAGCAGACTCAGTGCCCAGGCTGACCTCACCTTCCAGCCCAGGGCATGCAGCCCCACCACGGCCCCATAGTGGGAGCACAGAGGCCGCACGGGGTCAGCCAGCACTTTCTGCAGCGACAGCAGGATCTGCTGTGATAAGCCATTCACCAGGTCCCCATGGGTCCTATTGGAGTCAGGATGGCAGAGAAATTGTAATTAGCAGGAGAGTACGCTGCAGAGAGCTCCCATTTCTCAAATGCTCTTAGGTGAGACACCCCCTCACTGGCCTCAAGGGGAGCAGCGCCACCCCCTCCATGCCAGCCTTCCTCCTCTGGCTCCCACCAGCTCCGGGGCCCCCTACCAAAAGATGTGGCTGAGCAGGAGGGCGGCTCCATCACGCAACGTCCAGTGGTCATTCAGGGGGTTGATGGAGGCAGCCAGTGGCTCCAGGACACAGTAAAGAACACTGCCCACCAGGGAGCGAACGTAGGGCCCCAGGCACAGGTGAGGATTCCGAAGGAGGCTCCGTGCCACCTGCAGCAGCCGGTGCAGCTGCTCTAGGTCATGGCTCACTGACTTCACCTGGGACAAGAGGAATGAGAACAGGAGGCTGTGACCGTGGAAGAGCTCTTCGCGGCCCTGGCACCTGTTGCCCCCGGGGTGCTAAGCCTTAGGGGATGATGGAGGCAGCAGCAAGACAGACTCTGCCCTTCGGGATGGAGAAGCCAAGGACTTGGACATGCGATGGCATCACGGGACCACAAATCCACAGGGTAAAGGAGACCTGGAACCCCAAACTGCTCCCTTTCCAGACAAGGAAACTGAGGCCCAAGTGAAGCGACTGGCTCAGGGGGACGGAGGCCCTCAAGGCTCTGCCTCGTCCTCTCACCAGCACACTGTGCATCTGCACTAAATGCTCGCCCCACCCCCACCCCACCTGAAGGTGCCCGGGTTCTCCAGCCTCCATGCCTAGCACAGGCACTGACACCCAGAAAGCCTGCAGGGGTGGTGCTTGTCCCAGTTCTGAGCAGCCCAGAGGTGACTCGGGAGCCTCGAACACCAGGCCAGCAGGTCCAAGCAAGCCGAAAAAGCCTCAAGTACAAGCCCAGCGTCGTTCAAAGACCAGCCTGGCCGAGGCCAGAGACGGCCATAAGGGGAAGGCTTTTCTGGAGGTGGCAACGCTTGAAAGCTGCCCCCCGAGTCATGGAGGAGGGGGAGGTATGCTTCAGTGCAAAGTTGCCCCCGCTAAGGAAGTCCTGGGAGGGGTGGGTTTGCACCCTGTCAGGTGGACTCAAATAACGGCGGTCTCTGCCCTTGATCAGAGAGCTTACATGCTGTGCCCTCTTGGCTCCCCCTCTTCTCCCGGCCTACCTGTCCTCTCCTCCTAGATTCCACAGGTGTAATCCCTCCTGCGCCCCCCGACCTCCCGCTGATATAACCTGTACCACACCCCCAATCTTCTGCAATCATCCCTACTAAGCCCCGCAACCTCCCGCTGCTATAATCCCTTCTGCACCCCCTAAACTCCTGCAGCTATAATCCCTGAGACCCCCAACCTCCTGCTGCTATAATCCCTACTGAACCCCATCCCACACACCCCACAGCCCCTGCCCCTCCCTCCATCACTCACCCCGCTGACGACATACACGAAGTAGGGCAGCAGAGCTGCGATCTTGGAATTTGTCTGCAGGTCCTGAAGTGCTACCTGGAAGATCAGGAGACGGTGATCTTGAGCCCTACGTGGCCCACGCCTCCTGACTGATGGAGGCCTCTAGCCCAGAAGACCAAGGCCCAGAGCTCCTGAAGGCCTGCAGAGTCCTGGGGAGGCAGCGGCCCAGAGGTCCCTCACCCAAAGCCTCCGAGCCAGGACGTCTGGTGCGAGGTTCTAATGCACCCTCTGGCTCACCCATTGGTCAGGCTGGGCCTCCCACAGCCCCAGGCCTCTTACACGGGTTAAACACCATCCAAGCCTTGATCCCTTTCCAGAGGAAAGAGGGACCATGTTAAGGGGGTGGGGGAAGGAGTGAGGAGGACATTAGGAAGCTAGAACACACTTACAGTCTAAAGAGACCTCCTCCTGTCCCTGGGCTGAGAGGCCAGTGGCACCCTGCTCCATCCAGGCCCCACTGGGGATGACGAGGAGAGCCCCTCGCGGGCCACAAGCCCAGTTACAACACTTCCTAGTCATGTTACTGTGGGCAAGGCTCAACTTTCAGATCTGCTGAACAGGCATCCTAACACTTGTAGTACCCACTATCTGTCTCAACAGGTTTTTGTAGAGGGGTTTGTAAATCACGAAGGGCCATAGAAATGGAGCACGGGGGTAGAAACAAGCTTGCCAAAGGGGAGCCAGCAAACGAAAGTGCCCCCCTTCCCCAGGCCTTTTCACCCTCACTCTCCAGGCCAGTATCTTTGCTGCGCTGGCCTCAGTCTCCCCACTCCGTGCCCTGGTACTCTTGAGACAGAGGCACGGGTAACATATAACAAATCAGACCCTGTTACTACAGCTCAGGCCAAGATGCAGAAAGCTGCAGGCCCTGGGGGCAGGGTGAGGAGCAGGGCACCAAGGGAAGAAGGCTGGACATGCTGGCGGGCCTGACCTGTGGGCAGGGACTCTCCCTTTGTTCCCTTTCCTCCTGCTCCTTAGAAGAACTTAGAAGACTGGGGATCCTCTCTGAATGACCCTGAATTCATGCCCATGCTCCTTACGGCTGCAAGGAAAACAAAAGGAGTCTTGGGAATTAAGAGAGTAGCCCAAAGAAAGTGGTGGAGACGGAGGCTGGATGGCTTGCGGACCACGAGGCCCAGGCTTAGAAGGGAAGGCTGCTCAGTCTGGAGCCCTCAAGGAGTCAGACATCCCATCCCAGAACAGGGGACAGGCTCAGGCCGGATCAGAGTGAAACCCCGGGAGATGCTGCAGGGTGGAGGGAGAACACATCCATTGTCCGGCCTGGAAAACAAACCCTGGAAACCCCTTATACAGAGCCAGGTCGGCTGCCATGTAGACCCTACGCTGGGCCCCTGGACACAGATGAGGAGGAATGCCTTAAAAGAAAGCTGGAGGGGTCTGGCAGCCCTGACCTTCATGAGCTGCGGGTCGTCCCCCAGCACGGCACGGGTCACTTGCTGGTAGTACTTGAGCAGGTCGTCGGTCAGTGAGGAGACGGCACTGGGCACTGCAAGGGAATTGACAGGAACGATGATAAGCATGACGAGCAGAGGCCCCTCCGGGGTCCTTGGTGGCCTGTCTGTCACTTGGCAAAGCAGCTTGGACACAGGGAAAACGTGCTGGCCGTGACAGCATCCACACTGGAGTGGGCTCCTCCCACACGAGAGAACTCTGGCCTTCTGCCCAACTCCAAGCCCAGTGACCCAGACCCCAGGAGCAGCAGCAAAGCAGGCCCAGAACCCCAAGGCCAACCCTGTCTCCAGAGGGTCACAGGAGAAGTGCACTTAGGAGTCAGCCTGAGGACGAACGTCATCCCAGGCCGAGCCTCACCACAAGTAGACGGGTTCATCCTTCCTCAGGCCGCAAGGGGATGGCCTGTAATTCTGGAAGATGACCTACTTACTAGATGAAAAAAGAAACTGCAGTGCTCAGTGATGGAAGGGTGGCCCTCACCTGCCAAGCTTGGGGCAGACACCCCCCCCCACCCCCGGGCATGCTCATCTTCTGCAAAGGAGATGCCGGCTTAGACAAAACACTGGGGGTCAGGGCTGGGAACAGAGGCTGGTATTGGCCAACACCTAGAGATGGTAGGAATGAACGTGGGCAAAGCTGCGGCTCTGGGTGAAAGAGCTTCGAGTTACAGGAGAGAAAACGGCAGCCCTGGCTCCCCTGCCAACCACAGCTCACTCCTTTCTTTGACTAGGTGGGGGACTGCGGGTGCACAACGTGCCGCACGCTATGGGCCGTGCTTACTGGGTCAGGGAGTTCGGCCTTGTCACGTGGAGGCTCTTCCAACCCCTCCTCATGAAAAGACCAGAGCTCACAAAGTCTCTGCAGTTCAAAGGCAGCAGTGAAGATAAACACAAAGAGGCAAACAAGAAGGAATACTGCTGATGGGCCAGCTGCTGGGAGACGTCCCCTGGGAGCCCCATCGCCCTCCGGGGCCAAGGATGAAGCCAAGGAGACAAGGCCTGCGGCGGCTTTGTTAGGTCTTGGTGCTCTTCAGAAAAGAGGGGATGAGGGGCCCAGTGGAAGTCTGGAGTAAGGGAAACGATCTCACATCATGGAGGGGGGTAGATGATAGAAACACACACATGCAAGGTCAGGGTGGCAGCCAGACTTGAACTTCACTCTCATGTGAATTGGTCAAAAGAAAGAAGAATGCGTGCGCGTGCTCACGCGAGCACATACACACACAGACACACACACACACACGGAATGGCTCCACAAGCAATAATCTATAAACACAAAAGAACCCCACTGCATGACCTCTGACCAGTACGCTGACCAGCCACAATCCCAGGGCCTAAGGAGCAAACCCTCCCCCTGCCTCCCAATAGAGCAGTGAAGAGCTCACGGGGCAGAATGAAGCAGATCTGGACACACAGCCAGGGTAGAAGTGGGTTCTGATCAACCCCGTTCGTGTGTGATAGGTTTTGTATTTCTTGCGCTCTCAGTTGGGAGGGAAGGTGGGGTGGGAGAATGAGAAGGTGGATCTTGGCTGACTGAGACCAATAAAATAACGAAAGATTTTCAAAACCAGACAGCGTTCTTGCCATTTACCTGATCCTTGAGGCTCCACATTCCCTTTACCATCCAGATAGGAAACATGAACTAGAGAGAGATGAGGGAAGGCAGGTCACCCCACGCTCCGCTCACTACCTCCCCCAGGCCGCCTCCTCCCTCTGGACCAGCTCCCGGGGGCTCCCACCTCTCACAGCTGTCTCAGGACACCCCTTGGGAATGTTGGTGGCCAATGCCAGCTCCACGAGGTTCACCTCTCGGTCCTCAGGGAAGTAGAGGTCGCCTTCCCTGGCAGGACGCAGGGGCAGGGCCTCCTGGGAGCCGTAGCCGCACACCGCCTAGGAGTGGAAGGGCGAGGTTAGATGTTCTGGAAACCTTCAAGTGTCATCCAGAAAGACGATTCCGGGAGGGGAAGAGAGGGAACAGAACGGACACGAAGCCCCAGGGAGGCCAGAGTCCTAGGAACGGAAGCTCAGCACTCTGGGACAATCTTTGGGCTCGTGGACGGAGTGTCATGGGGCATCTGGGGATGGCAGACAGGGCTGCACCATCTCCACTTCAGAGAATCCTTCGACCCAAAGCTTCCTCTACCACATTAGGTGTTTAATGAGCACCTACTGTATACAAAGCTAATGTTCCCAGCCATCGGCCCATGTGGAAGGGCCTCCCTTCCCAAACTCTACCCATCCTTCAAGGCCCGGCTGAAGTCCCAGCTTTTCTGTGAAGACTTCCCGGACCATGCCTTAACTGTGAGTCCATGATTGTAAAAGTCATCATTCCTGTCTCTGTCACATTAAAGGGCCACAAAACTCAGAGTGAGGTCATCATGCCAGGGTTACTCCTAAGCCGCTCTGACAGATGAGGGATCTTGAGCCTCCTGACCGTGGGCTGGGCACGTGGCCCGGCCCCTTCTCCGCTTCTGCCAGCCTCACCTCCACATTGCTCCACCGCAGGGCCCGGTTGAAATCCTCCACCGTCAGCTTCCGCCGTTTGGTGTGCTTCATGAACTGGGAGCTGTTCTGAAGTCAGTTAGAAGAAAGCAGGCATCAGAAAGGGCAGCAGGGCAGCCGGGGGCCTCCCCCGCCTTTCCCTGCCGGCGGTACCTGGGTGGCCTCCCTGAGCCGGTAGCAAACGTCCTCAGCCAGAAGCGCGGCCACCTCGTCACTCAGCTCTAGCCCGGCACTTTCAGCCATGAGCCGGACTGACTCCCTGGGGATCTCCACAAAGCGCCGCTCCTCTCGCTCTGACATGGTCCCAGGATGCTGGGGCAGCCACTAGGACCTTCCTAGTCCTCTGGAAAACTCCTCTGCCTCCAGTCTGGAATGACACAACAGCAGGGCTGGGAGGGAGGGGCGGCTCTAGAACAGGGGTACAGCACACGGCTCCCACTCAAGAACACAGAATGTGGAATCAGAGCTGGGAGGGCCTTGGGAGGTCATCTGCTCCAACCCCTCCGTTCTAGAGGTGACGAAAATGAAAAAGGTCACCCAGGGGCTCAAGAGTAGAACCCGATTTAGAAGCTGGGTCTAACTGCTGGTTCAGTGACCTTTTCTCTGCAAGAAAACAGCTAACTTGGCACTTTTACATGGCACTTTAAAGTTTGCCACACACCCCAGAGCAATCCTGTGTTGGAGAGGGAGAACAAATATGCATTAAGTGCCTACTATGCGCTAGGCTTTACTACTGTTTACTAAGAATCTGCAATGTGCTAAGTGTTTTACGAATCTTACCTCATGACCCTCACAGCAGGCCTTGGAGGTAGGTGCTGATATTGTCCCCATTCGACAGCTGAGGAAACTGAGATTGACTTGCCCAGGGTTACACAAATAGTAAGCGTCTGAGGCTGGATTTGAACTCAGTTCTTCCTGACTCCAAGGACAGTAACCGCCGCAGCCATCCACACGCTCCTTTCCCATCAGATTAAACCACAGTATAGTGAAAAGAGCCCAGGTCAAGGTTCAAATCACACCTTGACTACTCATCACTTGTGAACTCTAAGTGGTGACTTAATTTTACTGGGCCCCAAGTTCATCACCTATAAAATTGGGGACTTTGCAAAGAGGTGAGGTCCACAAGGGCAGCTAGGTGGCCCACTGAATACAGCACTGGGCCTGGAGTCGGGAAGACCTGAGTTCAAATCCAGCTTCAGACACTTACTAGCTGTGTGACCCTGAGCAAGTCACTTAACGCTGTTTGCCTCAGTTCTCATCTGTGAAATGAGCAGGAGAAAGAAATGGCAAACTGCTCCAGTATCTCTGCCAAGAAAACCCCAAATAGGGTCACAAGGAGTTGGACACAACAGCTGAATAGAACAAAGGTCCACAAGTGTTTTGAATTGGTTTTTTTGTTTTTTGGTTTAAGTAGCAGACTTATTCAATGTTGATCATTATGTTGATTTTTCTTCTTCTCTTTCTTTAAAAATACTATCTGTTACACGGGGTGACTCTGCGAAGGGGAGGGGGAAAAATACTGGGGGAAACTACAGTGACCCAATAAAAAAACAAGTAAAATAAAATCAAAGTAGGGAATCAGCCTCACTTCTGAGCCCCCCCCAGCTCTAACTCCTGTGCCTGTGTGACATTTTCTGCTGCTTCAAGGCCAACTGACTGAAGGCTTTCAACAAGACCACTGGAGAGGACGCCAGGACCTTACTGTTCAGCTTTCTATAAAGGGGGAGACTGAGAGAGGTCAGAGAAGGATGACCTGTCCCAGTGCCCACCACAGCTTGGCCTCCCTTCTCATCTCTCCCCAGCCAGTATAACCAGCACTGCTGGGGTCATCAACAGCTCAATTCAGGACCCACTGATGATGTGTCTGAGAGGGTCAAGGCAGGGGGGGGGCCCGCTGAGGACACAGACACCAAAATCGTCATGGCCTTCTCAAGGCCTGTGAGGCTACTGAGTCCCCTGGGAGGCTCTGAATCTCCCCTGCTAAGGCAGCTGCTCTATCATGTTCACACCCATGGGTTCCTCCCCAGACCAGGCCCAGAGAGCTGTGACACTCAGCCCTGGGTCCACCCCGGCACCATGTTTCTCTCCCATAGTCATTGGGGGAGCACCCCACGCACATACCCCATCCCCCCCCCCCCCCCCCCCCAAGCCTTCGGAGGCCCCGCCCAAAGCCCCCCCCCCCCAGGTACATCAATTCCTCGAGGGCAGGGACCATCTCCCTTTTCTATCTGTATCCCCAGCACTTGGGACACTGGATGCCTGGCACAGACCAACATCTACTAAATGCTCATTCATTCATTCATTCATATGTGTCTGGGTGGGGTCAGACATCCTCTAAGTTCCCTGATTCCTGGCATTCCAACAGCAAGGACCCCGGCTGATACTTATTTTTACCCTCAGAGACAGCACTGGTCCCTAGAAATTCAATTTAACAAATACTATTTGTTGGCTGAATTGGATCTGTTTTAATATAAGAAGCAGCTAGCACAAGGAAAGGAGTCCTGACTTAGGAGTCTGGGAGGCCTGGGTGTGAATCCTGCCTCAGCCATTTCGTCCTTATCTCTGCATGGGTGAGTCATTCCTGTATCAGTCTGGTAAGTATGTGACCTCTCTGAGCCTGTCATCTGTCAGCTGGGCATCACAATATCTGGAGAAACTCCTCCAAGTCGGGATGGAATGAGCAGCAGGAAGTCTAGCAGAGGGGCCCCCTAGGGGCTCCGTCTTAACTGGGTAATGCCGCAGTCCTAGTGGATTTATACTGATTCTCTAAAATATTTCCCCGTTACATTTTAATCTGGTTCCGGCCCCGTGAGGCCTGTTAGACACCTTCCAGGTACAGCATTTGCAAACCTTGAAATGCCATCTAAGTGCTGGCTACCACGAGGATGTCCTCTGAGAAGAAAGCCTGGAAGCCGAGGCCTCGAGGCCCACCTCTGACAAATCCTGGCACGGGAAACTAGGGGCACTCTATATGAATGGCGGAGGAGAAGGGCCTGGCCCTGAGCCGAGCTTTACCCTGGGATATATCACATACAGTCTGAGAAGCCTGAGGCAGGAGTGAGTGGTCAGAGAGCCGGCCCGGGGGCCAGGAGTACCCGGAGAAGGCAGCTACCATGGGTGCCTTGGCTTCTCGTCCTCCCTGCCACAGTCTGTCATCCCTCCGAGGGGAGATCTCATGGCCAAAGAGACCTCATTCTTCTTGACTTCACTGTGGCCGTGGCTGAGATTGCCCCTCCTCCACTCCTCCTTGACATGCTCTTCTGTCACCCCCTCGTCTCGTCCTCCCTCTCTGACCTCTGTCTCCTCTCCTCTGTCTCCTTTGCTGGATCCTCCCCAGACTTCAGTATAATGTTCCAACTCTGACGTCTCAGACTGGACATCCGATAGACATCTTAAACTCAGTATGAACAAAACGGAAATCACCATCTCCCCCCAAGCCTCCCTCCCACAACCCAGGAATCATCCTGGACCTCACTCTCTCTCACCCACAATGTCCAACATGTCACCTCTGCAGCATCTCTCGAATGCACTCCCTTCTGTCCCCTGACACTGCCCTCACCCTGGTGCAGACCCTCATCACCTCACGCTGGGACTGCTAAAGCTGCTGGGGCAGGGCCTACCTGCCCCAAGTCTCTCTCCACTCCAGCCCATCCTCCTTCAGCCACCATACGGATTTTCCTAAGACCCAGGTCTGACCATGTCACCCCCTACTCATTAAACGTGGGGAGCGCCCCATGGCGCTGTTTGGCCTTCAAAGCCCCTCCTAACCTGCCCCCTCCTCCCCTTCCTGGCTTATACACCTGACGTCCCCCACATTCTCCTCAATCCAGAGACCCCAGCCTCAGCTCCTTCTCTCAGCTCCAGGCATTTTCTCTGGCTGCCCCCATGCCTCGAAGGCTCCTCCTCATCTGCTTTGACCACTGACCTCCTTTCTTTTGCTTAGTCTGTCTGACCCTTTGTGGCAAAGATTCTGGAGTGGTTTGCCATATTCCTCTACAGCTCATTTTACAGATGAGGCAACTGAGGCAGACAGGGTGAAGTGACTTGCCCAGGGTCATACAGCTAGTATATGTATGAGGCCGGATTTGAACTCCGGTCCTCCTGACTCCAGGCACTACCCACCGTGCTACTTAGGCGACCACTGTCTTCCCTGGCTTCCTTTACAGTGAGGGCAGGGCCTGTCTCCTGCCTCTTTCTGTGTCCCTAGTGCTTAGCACAGCCTGACTGTCCCGGTGAGCCAGGGTTAAGAGGCTTAATTTCTCAGGCTCCCAATGAGATGCAGACCTGCACCGGTGGAGAGCCTGCTTTCGGGCACTAGTGACAATCTCATCCAGGAAAAGAAGCAGGGACAGACCTTCCCTGGACAAACTACCCCTGGGACCCCCAAGGGTCCTGTCCCAGGCTGCCCCTCCCCCAGGCTGATGGGGGGGCGCTGGAAGGGTCGGGACCCCCAGGGATGAAGTGGGGAAGGGGGCCCCTCTAGAACGTCCCTTCGTACTCGGGGAAGGGCCGCCCACCTGCCACGCCCGCCGTGCTAGGAACAATTAACTAAGTAGGAACACAAGGAGCATGGAAGCTCCTCCTGGTTCTCCACCCACGTGCCCACGCGTGGCCCCACGATCTTTTCCGTCTGGTCTCTCCTGTCCCGAGTGGGATCTGAGCCAAGGCTGGGACCCTCCTTCCACCATCCTCGTTCTCCAGGCCAAACTCCTAGACAGCTTGGAGTCCACTGGGACACCCAGATCATTGTCAGGCAGGCTTCAGGCCAGTGGAGGGAAGACCTGGGTTCGAATCTATCCGTTACTGCCAGCGGTGGACCCCAGGCTCCTTGGAGCCTCTTCCAGTGATCCCCATTTCACAGGCGAGGAAACTGAGACAGGCACGGATGAAGTGATCCGCCAGGGTCACCAAGCTGCTCTTCCTGACTCTCGGGCCGGGCGCTCTGCGCCCTGTGGCGCCCGCTAGCGGCCATGGGTGAGTCCCTTCAACTACCTGGGTCTCAGTTTCCCCATCTGTAAAGTAAGAACCGGGGAGATGATGACCTCTGAGGTCCCGCCCAACTCTCTAGCGGAGCCTATGAAAGGCGTCGGCCCCCGAGCCGTAACCTCTGACCCAAGGGTCAGGAGGCGGGGCCAGCCGAGGTCAGGACTCCCACGGCCTGTGGTCCCGGCGGAGGTGAGGGTGAGGTGGTGAGATCCCCCGGCCCGACGAAGTTCGGAGGCCCCGCGTTGAGCGTGGCGCGGCCCGAGGCGAAACTTACCCGAGGGCGGCAGCGGCGGCGGCGGCGGCAGCGGCGGCTCCGGCTCCGGCCCTGGCTCCCTTGCCTAGTCTCAATTCCCTCGCACTGAGGCTGGCCCCGCCCTCCCCCGCTCCCGGCCAATCCGCGGGCGGCGCTTCGAAGCCCCGCCTTCGCACATGCGTCACGTGGAGCAGGCCGTCTTCGGGAGGAGCCATATTGCGGGGAAGCGTCACGTGACGCCAGCCCCTTAAAGAGCCCTCCACGGCTTTCTTCCTTCGTGCCTGTTCCCTGTCTTGGAGATCCATAGTGGGCTCCCTGGAGGGGCCAAATCCTCCAAGCCTCAGTTTTGTCTCGCTGGGGTTAATCCAGGTCCGCCCCCCCCCCTCAATTCAGCCCGCGTTTGTGATCACTTTTTAGAATGCTGTTTTTACCCTTTATCTCTGCAGTCCTTTCCCCACCCAGGGACCTCGCCCTAATAATTCAGTTCAATGCAATTCGGTACCCAGTTATTAAGTTCCTACTGTGTGCCAGGCACGGGGCTTAAGCGGTGGGGATACAGGCTCTCCAAGAGCTCCCAGCCTAGCGGGGGAGACAGCGTACAAACAAATGTGTAGAGATCCAGCTGTAGACGGGATTTAACGGAGGGAGAGCACAGGGGAAGGCTTCCTGGAGGAGGTGGGATGTTAGTTGGGAGGTCAGAGCAGAGCAAGGAGAGTGCTCCAGGCCGGGGGATGGACGGAGCCCGGAGGAGGAGGGTCTTGTACAGCCGGGGGACCGGGGTCACTGCATCCAAGAGAATGGGGGGAGTCAGGTGTACGCACACTGGAAAGGGAGGAGGGGGCGGGGTAGGAGGGGCTTTGAAGACCAAACAGAGCGTTTTGTGTTTGATCCTGGAGGCCATAGGGAGTCACTGGAGTTTAGTGGGGAGGGGATGACTTGGTCAGAGCTG